CTGTGGACCAGCAACTGTTTGGTTTTCCACGTTCTTCAAAATAACTTTTATGTTCAGCAGAAGAAAGAAATTCATTCATGTTTAAAACAACTTTTGAGTGAGTAAATGAGGGTATAAAAATAAAACACTATGACAGAATTGACAGACAGATGACAGAATTTTTATTTTTGGGTGAACTTTTCCTTTAATGTTAATAAAACAACAAAACACACTGTCTAAAAATCACTCACTACTCTCGACTGAAAAACTTTAATACAGTTGCTTTAAGAGGAATCAATCTATAAAGTGTTTTATTTTTATATTTGTTCATTCAATTTCTTGAATGCTCCTGCTAAATACACCTACTGTACCTGAAAATAAAGCACTGTTTGTTTTTTATTTGTGTATTATGTGTATTTGCAATGTGTATCTTTGTTCTAATTTTTTAATAACTAAAAAAATAATGACAAAGATTTTTTATCTTCGCCCGCTTTGGCCTAAATATCCGCCAATCTTTGTATATTTTGTTACCTTGAAAGATTTTGTCTTTATAATAGGGAAATTAGTTTGGCTGTACTGCTGGGACAAAATAGTAAAACCAACATGACAAAGAATCGTGATAAAATCATAAATAGTGATATGATATTTTTGCCATATCGCCCACCCCTAAATGTACGTGAGTGCCAATGACCTCAAACATCTGGTGTTCATGATGTGTTAACCGGGACAGTCCATCTCAACCACACAGCAGTGCTAAATATTGAGAGCTGTTAAGAAAGTGTTGTTGGTGTTCTTCTAATGTCGTTCTCTCTCCCAGCTTGCATTGGCAATCGCAGATCTGGCTCTTCAGATGGCCTCGTGGAAAGGCTGTGTTCACACCCTCATAGAAAAGTAAGAATCTACTTTAGACTTTCCTTCATTTGCATTTTATTGATATGTTCCTTACCTGTGGCCCTGGTTGATCCATTACTGATCCATTAAATCAATAGTGTCAGGATTAGGTTTGCTTGGCTGCAAAATTACTTAAATAGCACAATTTTTAATCACCTGAAAAGTGTAATAATTCTAAAAGAATTGCACTTAAAATAGTTGATGTCACCTTGAAATTTCAGTATTTACCAAGGGCTCTGTTTTGGCTCTTCCAGATACAGTAACGATGTGTCCTCCATGCCTTTCCTGATTGAGATACTCACCGTTCTGCCAGAAGAGGTGCATAGCCGCTCTCTGAGGATTGGAGCCAATCGACGGTCGGAGATTATTGAGGATCTGGCCTACTACTCTACCACAGTGGTCACTCTTCTGGTCCGGACACATTGATATCTGCAAAACAATTTCAATCGTTTGTTTTGCACTTTGCAACGTTAACAAGATGCCTAGCCTGCCTGTCCAAAGTTTAACGGTTATCACATCCTTTAGCCACTTAAAGCATGCAAGATACGTGACACCCCATGCAGGGCTCAAGGAGTATGGTTAATTATTATTGTTTAAAATTTTAGCTGTACATTTGTAAGTGTTTGTTTTTTTTAATTTAACTTGTATAAAAAAAGATATTGGAAATAATTGTATATGTTATATAGTATTTAAATTGGCAGAATTCTCAAAAGGAAGTTTGCAAGGCATAAAACCACATCTCTTCCTCTACTGGGCCATCATATGTTGCTTTTACTTTGCTAACTCCCTCATCCTTTGTTCTGTGCTGTCATTCCACCCATGCAGATCATTTTAGTGGTTTAGAGTCTTCGTAAACATGTAAATGAATGGTTTATGATTCTGAGCTTGGCTGTTGGTGTATTTCCATGATCAGGTGACGTGTGCGGAGAAGTCCGGACATGATGAGAAGATGTTTATCAAGGTGTTCCGGTGTTTGGGGAGCTGGTTTAATTTAGGAGTGCTGGACAACAACTTCATGGCCAGCAATCAATTGCTGATGATTCTCTTCCAAGTGCTGGTGAGATCAGCAAATGCAATCAGACAATCACTTAGCTCCCACTTTCTCTTACTTTTATTTATAAATATCTCCCCCCACCTGTTCATTGCAGCAGAGGGATGAGACGTCCACAAACTTGCATGAGGCGGCATCGGACTGCGTGTGCTCGGCACTGTATGCGATCGAGAATTTGGCCGTACACATGCCTTTGGCCATGCAGCTCTTCCAGGGAGTCCTCTCTCTAGAAACGGCTTACCACATGGCTGTAGCCCGAGAGGACCTCGATAAGTACGTATGGCATTGTTTGTGATCAATGTATGCAGTTCATGCAAGCCTACATGCAAGACAAGATATCTCTGTTCCGATAACCAGTGAGATGCCGTAAGACAGCATCGTACGTCACAAGGGACCATATAAGTACATGTGTAGCTAAAACAAATAGCACTTGTCACAATATGCGAACTGGAGACTTGACTCTCAGATGATTTCAATATAGTTTGATGTTAGCATGTTGCTAAACTAAAACCTCAACTTGTGTAATACTCTAAATGGGAGACTCGACTCACAATTCATTTCAATAGAGTTTAACGTTAAGATTTTTACTACATTAAGAGATCAAATTGTGCACTACTATAAATGGAAGCCTCTTCACAAATGATTTCCATAGTTATATTTTAGCTAAAATCTCAAATTGCGCAAAAACACTAAACTGTAACCTGTCTCGCATTTGATTTCGATAGAGTTTGTTGTTAGCATGTTGCTATGATAACAGCTCAAACGGAGTAATATACTAAAGAGGAGACTTGACCTAATTGATTTCTGCCAAGTTTGACGTTAACACGTTGCTATGGTAAAAGCTCAAATTGCGCAAATATACTAAACTGGAGTCTCGGTTTACAGTTGATTTCAATAGAGCTTGACGTTAACATGTTGCTATGCTGAAAGTTCAAGTCGCACAATATTTTATACAGGAGGAGACTTGACTCAATTTACATATAGTTCGATATCAAATTGTGTAATACTCTAAATGCTAAAAATGCATAACATAACTATTGTTTAATTATTTAGATTGAATCAATATTTTTTGGTTGCATAATAATAAGGTTTTGAGACAGAGCAAGTGATTTGTGTTGAAACCTGTTGTAAACTGCATCTGCTTTTTTCCCTTTTCTTTCTTTCCTTTTTCTCCACAGGGTGCTAAATTATTGCCGGATCTTTACGGAATTGTCTGAGACATTTTTGGAGATGACTGTAAGGACTCCTGGCCAGGGCATGGGAGATCTACGCACCTTAGAGTTGCTGCTTATTTGTGCTGGTCATCCCCAATATGAGGTTTGTGTGAAACATATTCACACGTAACAAGTGAAAGTGAGTATGGGATTTTTAAGCATCCTTGTTGACTGTCTGTTGGGAATCTTTGTCCTGCTTCAGGTGGTTGAGATCTCGTTCAACTTCTGGTACCGTCTGGGAGAAAATCTTTATAAAATGAACGATCCGGAGCTTCACAGAGTGTTCAAGCCGTACATACAGAGACTACTGCACAGTCTCGCCCGCCACTGCCAGCTCGACCCAGATCATGTGAGCATCCTTCCCTTCCGTATCTTTCTTTTCCTTCACATGAAAGACTCAAATCATTCAAATACAAGCCACTTCTTTCTAGTACTTATTGCTTTTGTACAATAAAATTGAATGAGCTACATGATTTCCTTCAGTTCTTATTTTGTGCTTCCTGTACAGGAAGGAGTGCCAGAGGACACTGATGATTTCGGCGAGTTCAGGATGAGAGTGTCTGATCTTGTGAAAGATGTCATTTTCCTAGTCGGCTCCATGGAGTGTTTCTCGCAGGTAGAATTTATACTAATAGAAACATGAACTGAAAGTGATTTGAGGAAAAGGCCTCAAAATGATTTTAAGATTTTGGATGATTTACTGAGAAACGAAAGGGAATATTCAACCTTACCGTTCTTTTTATAAATGCCTTGTGTCTTCTCATCAGCTTTATTCGACACTGAAGGAGGGAAACCCCCCATGGGAAGTAACTGAGGCTGTTCTGTTCATCATGGCTGCCATAGCTAAGAGTATCGATCCGTAAGTATCGCTTTCAGTCATGATTTAACAGCTTCATGTTCAAGACTCTTGCTTTCACCAATCAAATTCACACCTGCGGCTGCAAACTTATTTAGTCATGCTATTTTAGGATACATAAGGATTTTATGTAGTTATTTATTTGATATATATATAATTTTTATTTTTTTAGTTTTGCAGTGAATATAGGCTTTGATGCTAATATGACTTTAAAAAAATAAAACATCTCACCTGCGGCTGCAAACTTATTTAGTCATGCTATTTTAGGATACATAAGGATTTTATGTAGTTATTTATTTGATATATATATAATTTTTATTTTTTTAATTTTGCAGTGAATATATAGGCTTTGATGCTAATATGACTTTAAAAAAATAAAACATCTGACATTTTGTATAGCTCTGGTTATTGATGCAGATTTTCTGATTCATTTAGATTGTGATTCACAAGCTCTCAATTTGATTCTTATTTGATTTGGTTCTAATTCTTTTGGATATTGTTTTGTCCATTTTGGTTAAATATGAAAAATTCTCTTTCTGCTAATACTGTAATTATATAGGGCAGTGTTTCAGACTGATTAACTTTCAGGGCTCTAGACTGCGACCAACATTTTTTGCATTCAACATTTTTTGAGAATGTGCTAGTAAAAATTTGACTTGGTTGAATTTGTGCTAGTGCATGACCTGCTCTGCTTCAAAGCATCTAGTCGATATATAATGGTGTATGCTATGCCTCGTCTTATTCGTTTTTGTTAATAAACATTATATAAGGTAGTTTGTCATTAGCTGTTTTATTGTTTATTGTTGTTCTTTTCATTAAGAATGAGTCAATATCCATCCATTTCAAGCATTTGTTTTAGTCTTAAAAAGTGAATGGTGTATAGTAGATGTAAGTACAACAGACAATCTTTTCTCGTAAAATGTGACATCAAGATCGCAAGTTAGAAAGTGGAAGCGTCTGAAGCCCGGCTTATAACATTGCAAAAGAGGAACTCCCATTCACAAAATTCAAATCACAAATACTGATGGAAAAAAAGCGGGTTGAATGAATGTTAATCCTGCTTCTCTGCATATAACTATAAACTGTGATAACGGAAAAACTATTCATTAGCATGCATTAATCCCATGTTGTAGCAAAAAAAAAAAGAAGACCAAATCATGTGCTGGTGCGACCAACGGAGAAAGTTAGTTGCAGCAGCACAACCAGTGGGAAGAATGAGTCTAGAGCCCTGTTTATTAAGCTCTTCATTAAGCTCTTCAAAATAATCCTCTCAGAGTCATTTACTTAAAGAACTGGACTACACTGTTTGCACTCTGTTTTTGATTCACTAAAAAGAACTGTTCCATAAGAATCATTTGCTCATGAATCAGGCTACACTTGGTCACTTTGGGTTTGATTTGCTTAATAGAATAAACATTTTTTTTTTCCTGAATCTGGTTGATTGTTTGTTTTTGTCTGCAGCCCTTGAGGACACATCACTAGAAAGCCATTATTTTGCAGGATCAATCAAATGAAGATCACAATTAATCATGAAATTTTTGTTGTGTTTTAATCATGAAAGTTTGATTGTAATTCTAAAATGTCTCCCTCCCCCTCTGCTGGTTCCTAGTGAGAATAATCCCACTCTGACGGAGGTGCTGGAGCAGGTAGTGTTGCTTCCCGAGACGGTCCACATTGCCGTTCGCTACACCAGCATTGAGCTGGTTGGCGAGATGAGCGAAGTGATTGACCGGAACCCTTGCATGTTAGGTGACTGTCACAATCTGATTTACTACGTCATCTTCACTCGCTGGATGTTTAGATTCTCTTTGTGTATTCATGACGTCTGTTTCGGGTTGGCAGATCCTGTTTTGAACTTCCTGATGAAGGGTTTGCGGGAGAAGCCGTTGGCCTCTGTGGCAGCTAAAGCCATTCACAACATCTGCTCGGTGTGTCGAGATCACATGGCACAGCACTTCCAGGGCCTGCTGAACATCGCCCGCTCACTCGACTCATTCGCCCTGTCCACAGATGCTGCGGTTGGCTTGCTAAAAGGTGTGTTAAAGGGATCGTTCACCCAAAAATTGACATCAGGGGTTCAACCGTAATTTTTTGAAGCTACAAGAATACTTTGTGTTCAAAGAATACAAAAATATTGACTTAATTCAACAATTCCAAAGATGAACAAAGGTCTTACGGGTTTAGAAAAAACGTAATAATCACTTTAATGTAGCTTGTGCCAACAGTTGTACACTGAAGCAGTTCCAGGCTGATGACGTATGAGTTCAGTGTTGCGCATGTGCCAGTGAGTCTCGTGAAAACCAACGTTTGTTAACAGGAGCAAAGGAAGCAAAGTTTCCTTACTTTAGCAAAGGAAAA